GATAAATAGAAGGAAGAGAGAAAAGGGAGGGAGGGGAGGGAGGAGAGAGAGGGAATGCGGGGAGAGGGAAGAGAAAAGGAGTGGGAGAGAAAAAAAAGAGGGGTAAGAAGGAGAGAGAGACGGGGGAAGAGAGAGCGAGAATGGAGAGAGAAAATGGAGAGAGAAAAAAATGGAGGGAGAGAGAGAATGGGGAGAGAGAGAGAGAGAATGGAGAGCGAGAGAGAATGGAGAGCAGGAGAATGGAGAGCGAAAGAGAGAGAGAATGGGGAGAGAGAGAGCGAGAGAATGGAGAGCGAGAGAATGGAGAGCGAGAATATGGAGAGCGAGAGAATGGAGAGCGAGAGAATGGAGAGCGAGAGAATGGAGAGCGAGAATATGGAGAGCGAGAGAATGGAGAGAGAGAATGGAGAGCGCGAGAGAATGGAGAGCGCGAGAGAATGGAGAGCGCGAGAGAGCATGTAGAGCGAGAGAGAATGGAGAGCGAGAGAGAGCATGTAGAGCGAGAGAGAGCATGTAGAGCGAGAGAGAATGGAGAGCGAGAGAGAATGGAGAGCGAGAGATGGAGAGAGAGAGAGAATGGAGAATAGAGAGAGAGACGGGGGAAGGAGAGAGAACGGAGAGATGGGGAGAGAGAGAGAGAGAGAGACGGGGAAGGGAGGAGAGCCGGGGAAGGAAGAGAGAGAGAGAGACGGGGAAGAAAGAGAGAGAGAGAGAGACGGGGAAGAAAGAGAGAGAGAGAGCCGGGGAAGGAAGAGAGAGAGAGCCAGGAGAAAGAGGGAACCCTGGAGAAAGAGGGGAGGGGTAGGGAAAGGGGGGTAAAGAGAGATAAAAGAAGGGAAATAGGGAGATAAATGGGGGATAGAAAGTGAAACAGTCTGGACTGATATTCTGTGGGTGTCACATTCCAGACCAGATCCTTACCCTACATCCCATGACTGCAGTCCTGGAGCTCCGGTCACACTGCTGTCTGAGGCTTCCAGGCACGGACTGATGGAATATTAGAACATAATTCAATGGGGATGACAATGACTTGAATAGAAAACTGCATGACTATCCAGACCAGTCATCTCATCCACCTCTTCCTTACACAGCATGTGACGCCCATTACAAGTCACATGCTCCTCTCTGCTCTGTGTGTACACACAGGCTGACGTTCCACGAAATATGGCTCCTCTGTATACCTTTAGATGTGTATTCCTCCCTCCCTATACTCAGGCCTACACAGAGGCCAGTGGTGTGACAAAGAAGGAAGCACCCCTGCATCCCTTCAGACAGACATTCTCATTGTTCACGGGTGCCCTGACGGGTTCAACTGACTTGATGAATGCAGGCTCACAGCAAGGACAAAGCAAAAACAAGTGCTGTGTATGTGCCTCATTCAGTTCACACTGGCCCATCGCTAGGTTTTAGCAAGGGGGGCCAACTCCTACTGCTTTGGTTGTATGGCAGGCACACTGCCACAGATGTCACTGTTTCACATTTTTTCTTTTCTTTAACTTTATTGGTAGTGTACAATGTTTACACTCCATTCAGGTCCCTGCACCGGATGCAGCATGTTTGCATTTTATCACAGAACAGTGGCCATCACACCCACGTTGTGGGGTGAATGGGACACCTAAAAAACAATTGTTTTCTATGTGTCCTAGCGGTGATCTGCATTGCTCTGGTGCGATAAAATGCAGGTCTCCACTATGAACAGGCTCTCACATATAACAAAAAGTGTGTTATTATTATACAGAATTTACAATATAAGGAAGACATTACAATCACAATACAATTCAAGACAAGATGGTAAGGAGGGCCCTGCCCATGAGGGCTTACACTCTAAAAGGGAGGGGCCAGTGATACATGAGCAGGTAGCTGTGTGGGGATGAATTCTTTGAGAAGGTGATAGTTCAGTGGTCAGGTTGAGGTGGGAAAGGCGTTGGCATGCATTGAGAAAAAAATTGAGCATGCTGCATTTTTTGCAACACAATGTTGGGCGTACAGTTAAATGAAGTGTTATCTAAATAAAGTCTACAAAAAAAGGAAAAAACGAGCGCTTGAAACAACACATAGCAGCACATCGGTACCGTAACAAGCCGCCACTCATGTGAACAGACCCTGAGTCAGCTTCTGCCTGTTGCTTGGCTTACTGTCCAAGAGTTGTGGAAATAAGCTGACCATACAATACTTGAATTTCCAATTGTGGGTGGCCCCGAGGGCACCACGACATTTATCAAAAATCAATTTTTTACTCAACTTTTTCAAAGGAGCCACACCAAAAATTGTGGACCGAGCAGTGACTGCAACCAACTGTCAGCAGCAGCCATTGTTCTTGTTTTCTGACAGTCAGCGCCCCTGGCTGGGGAAGTCTGGTAGGGAACATTTCTACACAGCATGGATGGAGCAATCAAGAGTTTTTCTCATTCAGCAAGTGTATGGCCAGCTTAACAATGGGGGGAATTTATAAGGTCCCATTTACACCCTTGTGAGGTGACGTGCATTTTAAGGGCTCATGCATACGCTGTGTATTTCAGAAGAAATACAGACGGCACAGCACAGCGTTTTCTGTCCATATATTCATCATGGCTGTCCCTGGGATTATTGCTGCCTGAGGAAGGCGCATGGCGGTGCAGGGTGTGCACGCAGTCGGGAAGGGGGGAGGGGGAAGTGGTGCTGGTGACTCTGCAGGCTCTTAGTAACCTGGGGAGCTCTGGCTGGTGTCCTGCCCAGCCCCTGGCAAACCACTGACGTCATTGCTTGGCAGGAGCTGTGCAGGATGCTGGCCAGAACATCCCATGTTGCTAAGAGCTGGGCAGGGAGATTTGTATGTAGGGATCCCTACCTGAAATAAGTCATTTCAGGGAGGTGCCCTTTTCATTTTAGGGAGGTGCCCTAGCACCACCCCTGAAATGATGGCAGGTAGCAAAGAAGCTAATGCTTCCTGAAAAAAATCTGAATTAAGCAAAATAAGATATTTAAAACTAACTTCCAAGAACAGAAACCTTTAAAGAAGGCTACCCCATAAACTGAAAGGGTTAACTGCTCATTTTTGTCTAGGTTTGGTGTGGATGAACAGTGTAAAATGTATGGGTGCACAGTGTAAGCGCACAGTGTGGGCAGATTGGGTGCAGTGTGAGTGCTATGAGTGCACAGTGTGGGCAGATTGAGTGCACAGTGTGGGCAGATTGGGTGCAATGTTAGCGTTGTGAGTGCACGGTGTGGTCAGATTGGGTGCAGTGTGAGTGCACAGTGTGGGCAGATTGGGTGTAGTGTGAGTGCTTTGAGTGCACAGTGTGGGCAGATTGGGTGCAGTGTGAGCAGATTGGGTGCAGTGTGAGTGCACAGTGTGGGCAGATTGGGTGCAATGTTAGCGTTGTGAGTGCACGGTGTGGTCAGATTGGGTGCAGTGTGAGTGCACAGTGTGGGCAGATTGGGTGTAGTGTGAGTGCTTTGAGTGCACAGTGTGGGCAGATTGGGTGCAGTGTGAGCAGATTGGGTGCAGTGTGAGTGCACAGTGTGGGCAGATTGGGTGCAGTGTGAGTGCACAGTGTGGGCAGATTGGGTGCAGTGTGAGTGCAGAGTGTGGGCAGATTGGGTGCAGTGTGAGTGCACAGTGTGGGCAGATTGGGTGCAGTGTGAGTGAACAGTGTGGACAGATTGGGCGCAATGTTAGCGGTGTGAGTGCACAGTGTGGACATTGGGTGTAGTGTGAGTGCTTTGAGTCTACAGTGTTGGCAGATTGGGTGTAGTGTGAGTGCACAGTGTTGGCAGATTGGGTGCAGTGTGAGTGCACAGTGTGGACAGATTGGGTGCAGTAAGAGTGCACAGTGTGGACAAATTGGGTGTAGTGTGAGTGCTTTGAGTGCACAGTGTTGGCAGATTGGGTGTGGTGTGAGTGCACAGTGTTGGCAGATTGGGTGTGGTGTGAGTGCACAGTGTTGGCAGATTGGGTGTGGTGTGAGTGCACAGTGTTGGCAGATTGGGTGTGGTGTGAGTGCACAGTGTTGGCAGATTGGGTGTGGTGTGAGTGCACAGTGTTGGCAGATTGGGTGTGGTGTGAGTGCACAGTGTTGGCAGATTGGGTGTTGTGTGAGTGCACCGTGTTGGCAGATTGGGTGCAGTCATTGGGTGTGGTGTGAGTGCACAGTGTTGGCAGATTGGGTGCGGTGTGAGTGCTGCGAGTGCACAGTGTGGGAAGATTGGGTGCAGTGTAAGAGCTGCGAGTGCACAGTGTGGGCAGATTGGGTGGTGTTAGTGCCCCCGCTCCAGGCCCGCTCCTGAAAATAGGCACGGCCCACCCTAATCCGCAGGCCGAATCGGAGGACCTGAATCTGTTTACCCAAATCGCGGCCAGCATAATGGCAATCCGGCGTAGATGCGACCAGGCAGCCGCGGCCCTCTATTCAGGCATTTTAGAGGGCTGCTCGCTGTGGCCTCTCGGGGGATGCCTGAGCAGAAAGCCGCAACTGCTGCAACCACAGCTGCCAGTTTCACTCTGCATACCCCCCGACCTGGTGAGAATTTGCCCTGCAACCTGGAGCCCGCATTGACCACCTGGAGCCCGCACTGACCACCTGAGAGCCCGCACTGACCACCTGGAGCCCGCATTGTCCACCTGGAGCCTGCACTGACAATCCGGTAAGAAGTACAGCAAGGTATATGGACTTTATACCTGGAGACATCAGGCCGCGGACCTGAGTATGTAGCTTCATATTATTCTGCATTGCTGTATAAAGTATTGCTGGGATTTGTAGTCTTTTGTAGCTGATGGTATTATTCTGCAGTGCTTTACAATGCATTGCTGGCATTTGTAGTCTTTTGTAGCTGATGGTATTATTCTGCAGTGCTTTACAGTGTATTGCAGACATTTGTAGTCCTCTATAGCTGATGCCATGCTGCAGTGCTTTATAATGTATAGCTGTGATTTGTAGTCTGTTATAGTTGGTGGTATTCTGCATTGCTCTGTAATGTATTACTGGGATTTGTAGTCCTCTATAGTTAGTAGTATTCTTCATTGTAGTATTATTCTTCATTGCTGTATGCTTTATTGCTGGGATTTGTACTCCTATAAAGCTGGGGGTATTCTGCATTGCTGTATAATGCATTGCTAAGATTTGTAGTCCCTCTCCAGCTTGGAGTCGGTGGCAGATCTATCAGGGTCACAGCTGCAACCGCGCCCTGGTGCTCCACCACTGACTCCAACTATAGAGATTACAAATCACAGCCTGGATGAGAGGAAGAGGACCACGGTGACCGTTGCCATTTCCATAAAAAGGCCCATCAAAGGAGATGTTCTTAATCTGGCCCTGAACGCACATGTTGGCACGTTATGTTTGTGTGTTGTGGAGCTATTCCAGATAGCTGTAGTACATGCATTGCTGTGCAATTGATAGAACTGACAGTATTACACACACGTGTGAACGGGCTCTAATGATAAAACAAATGGCTTGGGTTATGCCTTAGGCCTGCAAGGGGCCACACATCTGGTGTGAACGAGCCCTGAACCTGCCACGTACATCAATAAACAGGTGACGAAGGTCCCAACAATTCCTAATAAATACAACAGATACAACGTTCTCCAGTGTGTCTCCTTCACACGCAGCAGCAACCTGACAGCTCCGCGCGACAGCACATATAGGACACAGGTAAACACAACCACGCCCAGTCCATGTGCGCAACTATAGCTCCACCCCGAAACAAGCGAACCACGCCCAGCCCAATATGTAGCAGCTATAGCTCCACCCCACAAACCGAGCGAACCACGCCAGTCCGATATGTTAGCACTTATGGATCCACCCCACAAACCTAGAGAGCCACGCCCAGTCCGACATGCTTCAGCTCCACCCCCAAACCGAACGAACTACAGCAGACACGCACGCCGCTCTCTCATTGGACGATCTCTTATGTGCGGATGATCTATTGGCTAGTTTTATCATGTTCTCATTGGTCGGACCTTGTGCTGGGAGTCAGGAACTGTA